TGAGGAATTTCTACTGTACGTCGTTCATAGCACCCATCCTCCGGGTAGCAGTTTTAATAATCAAGATGAATCCGCGGAAGACCTTCATGCAACACGGAATCCCCATGGAAAAAAGTACATACAATGACGGGATCCTAAAGAAGTACGACAGCGAGTCGATGTTAACAGTTGAGGTAGTCGAGGTTTTCTCGAACTGTGAAATGCAAGTCAACACACTTCGCCCCGGTCTGTTGCCACATCAATTATCTCTTGTCGTTAAAGTCGCAGGCTCTAGGTATATAAACAAAAACAAGTTGGAAACACTGTTACGGAGAATTTATTTTATGGTAGTACATGCCAACTGAAATATCTTTTTCTTGGGGATCGGTGTAACGATAGCAATGTTTCTGTTTAACGCAACTGTAGAGTTAACTCCAAGAGTTTCTATGTGTTTTCTTACCTTCTGCACCGGGTGGTCTCGTCTAAGGATGTTATCATAACGACAACAAGTGTGCTGGGCCAGAAGCTGACTCGGCTTGCTAGATCCCGTCATATCGTCAACGTCGGGGTTCCTCAGAAACGCAGGGTGACAACCAGAAGGGTGGTCTCAAGTGGGCTGTTAGCTGGAGTTGGTTGCCCAGTGAGGTGTGGAGATTTCAAAATAATTTCACTCCCCCAACCACTGTCGCGGACACCAGGAAGGCAGCTTGACTGCCATGACATACGTCACCATTTTTTGCTATGCAAATAGGTTGGTTTTGTGCTATCCGCTGGAATTCTTGAAAAAAGTCAGGAAAGACGGAAAAAATACAGCATATGTACGTATGCAAAAGCCGCGCAGAATGGAATGTACACTTTCACACAAACTGTCTTTGTAATTGACGTCTTGACACATTGTCAAAGCTGCCAGCTCCAGTTAATTTTAAAAATAAACGATTTAAAACAGCACTGGCTTCGCAACCCTCCGTTTAACCGACAGCATGACTGCCGATGAGGTTAGTCTGACTTTAAGCTGACAAGGAGGCTGACTGTTTGCATGGAAGTGCAGTCGAATTAAAAACACCTGCAGAGCCAATGTTGAATTTAGCCTTCTGAAAATGTACCAGGGCGTCCTCTTTTTAGCACATTTAGTCATAATAATATTTGAGAAGGTTTGATAAATCAGCTATACCGTTTTGCTGATGCTAAAAATACCGTTTAAATAATAAGAAGGAGCAACCATTTCAGGAGCAACGGATTGTCAAAAAAATTATAGACCAAGAATTTTTGCTCTTAGGATGCATCATGGGTCATAAACATGCTGAAACAATGGCTAAGGCAGTAAGAAAGAAGACATCAGTGGTTAATTTAAGTTGCTCTCAAAGGCCGAAAAAACGAGAGCATTTTTCACCAGACAACCAATGTCTTTTTTCTTCAGACATTTGCAAATCAACCAGGGATAAATTTTCTCCCGATCGCTGCTGCATCTAGTTATAAACGAAAAAATTGTGTTAGGTGGTATGGAGTTGAGCAAAAAGTAACTAAATGTTCATTATACAAAAAAATTTACTTTGATCCGATTGTGAACAATTCGGCGCCTTGGTGTGATTCGAATCCACGACAGCAAGGAGCGGCTAAAGTGCATCCAACGCTCTAACCATATGAGCAATGCAGCCCAAACGGACGAAGCGGGTTTGAGCAATTTGGGTCAAGTTTACCAGCCCAGCTTACTGCAACGTCAGGTGCGACCTCGTAGCTTAGGTGGGAAGAGCGTTGGCTGTACAAAAGCCTCCCAATACTGTCATGGGTTCGAATTCTACCAAGGTACCGAGTTTTTCACAATTGGGTCAGCGTGAATTATTGGAAAACTTTCCCAACACCTCAGAAAAATAAAAAAGCCAAGTGCACGAAAATGGTGCCCTTGAGTAACTTACTTATTCCGAAAATCGACACTGAACCACTACTGAAAAATTATTAAATAGTGGCTTCTTAAATGGTCGATTGTGGTTACAAAGGGCCTTTTAAAGGCAACGCCAGGTCATAACAGACTTTGCACTCCCTATATCGCATGCCATATCCATTCGGGACACTGAAATATCTTAGATGTTGTAATGGAGATTTAATAGTACATAGTTATCACGGTAGCAAAAGGGAATTTAAAACGAAAATCATTTGTAAAGTGTGTAGGTGCGATAAGACAGAAACTTACCGACATAAAATTCACATCCTATCTTATTGTTTGAAATCCATGCATCTCACTTAATTGCCTTCTTCTGTAGAATTATTTTTAGCTTAATTATTTGCATAAAACACAAATTGTGTAGTGAGCGCAGAACATCTGCTTAAACGGGTAGAAAGGTTTTCATTTGATTTAGGTAAAAGTCGACAAAGCGACCAATGGGTTATGCCCGCGGCCTTTCTAACGGCCGTATAACCTAAAAGGCGCTAGATTCCAAAAAATATGCAAGAAATGTTGGGTTTTCATTTAAGTAGGCGTTCGTCGAAAGGTGTTAGCGTATATACCAACTTTCCCCTTCTCAATAAAATACGTCAACGTCTCGAGGTGCGCCCAAATATAAACTACATTTTTTATTGCAAAATCAACCAAAGACTATCCTTAAGGCAGTTGTAGGAGGCGTGAGAATTGTAAATTGCACATATTTAAGCTTTTCGGACAACCAGACATTATGAAATAAGAGTCCGACGATTTGGGTTTTGGCTCTTTCAGAATACTTATTTATCTGCTTCCATGTTTGCGAGCACTGTCCTATTTTCCAATGTAGGTAATACTGTAGTTTACATTGTTCATCTTAGACTACGACACAAATCTCAAGCTATGACAAGGAAACTTTGAATTGGATGAATATTTCGCAAAATATGACCAAGAGCTTAAGAGCCGTTCCTGACTTAAAACATTTAAATGGTCGAAAGGCAGGTCAAAGTATCTTGATTCTGCCAACGGTGGGTTTCCACATCACGAAAAAGTTTCTTTTTCTATTCCATTACAAATATATATTGGGAGAACCGTTATGCGCTCCCTATGTAGATATTGCCGCAGCAACGGTTTTCTGTGTATTAGAACAGTTTCTGTGCCGCAAAATCCCTTTTTCACTTCATAGTGTTCCATTAAAATACTGTTTTCTCATAAATTTGTTCCAAATGGAATTCATCTCCATTTAAAACAGAAAGCCAAAATAGAAGGATTTACATTTTCTATCTTTTATCCAGCTTGATTTGCGCGCATCTGTCAGGTAACATACGGCGCTACTTTTAATTTGACAATAACAAAACTCTGCATAAACTATAAGATTTAAGAAGCCATTTCACACAACTCAAGTGTTTAATGTTCCCTGGCTTATGGAGAAACCTCAAGGGGTGACAGTAAAATGACTATCAAGCCCATGCACCTTAAATTTTCTCATTAATCAAGAGTTCATGTGGTGGGATTTGTCGCGTTTTCTGTTCGACTATGTCCTTAAAAGTCATTTTTTATCGTCAACCAAATTTTGAACGTTTTGTTGGATGTTTAGAGGGGCCGCTTTACAGGCGTTGGTTGCATTAAATTGTGCTTTCATTCGAAGTTCGGGAAACTGTCCTGTCAAGGTAAAAAGGACCGCCAATTGGTCAGAAAAAAGGTTGTGTGTTGATCAAAAGCAGTTAACTGAGCCCGGTGTCAAGACAGAGTCAAGAAGACCGGAGATGAGGGAGGCCGCAGGTGGATGGTTCGGATGGATCCTCACCTTGGAGTTCCACCACACCCCCTGCTCCACAAAACAATAACCAGGATTTTGACCAACATAAAGAGAATTGGAGGCTGGCACGACCGAGGCCGCACCTGGGCGTGCCGCCAACGCCTGGATCGGATTCCAGAAAGTGGTGGGAGTGCCAGAAAGGCCACATTAAAAAGGAGCCATTGCAGCCTGACTCTCAGACCGCCTCCAGTCAAGGAGGAGGTCCACGTTACCCCGTCAGTTGGCAACCTTCCAAGCCACGGCTTTTAGCGCACTGTGATAGCTTCAAGCGCATCAGATTGTTGATAGTGAGGAGAAAGTGCGCTGAATCGTCGACCTCACAGCCCCTTCCCATCCCCACACCCCAGCCGCTGTCCGAGCCGGTCAGCAGACAGGAGTGGGAAATGGGCGCGGTGGCTGACATGCCTGCGCGCGCCACGGCACGACCTGCCCCCCCATACACACAAACACAAGGATTTCACACAACGGGGGTTGAACGGCGTGCCTCTCACTTGCATGAGAGGGCCGTGGAAGGTGCTGCTTCAGCCCGTCCCCAGCCCACCAGTCCGCCAGTCTACACAACAAACACAACGCGACAAACCGCGTGGACCGAGTGGGGACCTCAATCAGCAACCTTCCTATCCACGACGCTTGACGTGCCGGGATAGTCTCGGACTCAAGTCACCCCTGCAGCCGAAGCTGCATGTGGACGGAGTCGAGTTGCGGACTTCCCACTTGCGTGGGTGGTGGCAGTTGGGTGCTTGCGGTAGGTGAGTGTTGATGTGTGGTGGTGGTGGTAGAGAAAGTTCGGGAATGTATGGATGCGATGCCGGAGGGTGCGAGGGCAGTGTGGGCAGTTGAGGCGAGCGTGGTGGGTATAGGTTGGTGCTCCAGGCACTGGTTCGCCAGTGTATGTTCTCCATTCTCTGTGCGATGGATTCGCAAGCGACTGACCATGCCGATGCGAGAGTTGAATGTGCGTGGACAGTGTGGGCAGGTGAAGTCGGTGGCGTCGGTGTCAGTTGCGGGAAGGGCGGGGGGGGAGGGCGCAGGGTGATGATGTGGGGGTAGGGGTTAACATAATGGATGAGTCGGTACTGCGGTCAATGCCGCACTCCTGGATGCGCATGTGGCCGAAAAGGCCCATGCGTTGCGTGAAGGTGCGAGGGCAGTGTGGGCAGTGGAGGCGAGTGCGGTGGGTGTAGTTTGGTGCTCCAGGCACTGATTCGCCAGTCTCTGTGCGATGGATTCGCATTGGGCCAATGTGTGAAGTGAAGGTCGTCGCAGTGAGGGCAGGTGTAGTCCTGGTCCTCATCGCTGGATCCGAGGAAGTGGGGGTGGTGTCGGTTTTTGTGTCAGGATTGGTGATGCGCGAGACGCCCGCCTGAGCGGCCATCGTTGGGACAGTTGTTGAGGAGCAGGAGGAGGAGGTGCAGGAGGTGGTGGTGGAGGAGGAGGAGGAGAAGGAGGAGGAAGAAGAAGAGGAGGAGGAGGAGGAGGAGGACGGAAGTGGAGGTTCAGAAGAATTGCCAGAGGTAGTTGGCGGCAGGTAGGACGGGGAAGAGGCGGGTGGAGGGATGGCGGTTGGTGCGGTCCGCGAGGTACAGTTGATCCGAAGATGTCCAACAAGTCCGATTCGAGCCCGAAATGTCCGTTGAAATTGAGGACACGTTGATAGCGGTTGTGCGTCAGCGTTGCGGACTGGGCGAAGTTGTGAGTTGGGAGCTTCGCGTTTCGCTTTGGCGGCGGGTGGCCGCTCCAGCGCAGCTGCATTTGTCTCAGCATGGCATAGATATTGAGAATTCCCGTCCGTTCCATCACATCAGTGTTAGGGATGCGGTCCTGCCAGTTCAGCCTCAGGATGCGACGGAGACAACTGAGGTGGAAGTGGTTCAGTCGGCGTGCCTGCCTCGTGTACACCGCCCAAGTCTCCGCTTTGTACAGCAGCGTCGGCAGGATGACGGCCTTGTACATCTTTAGCTTCGTGCTCAGTTGGAGACCATGACGATTCCAAACTGTGCTTTGGAGGCGGCCGTATGCTTGACTGGCTTTCGAGCTCCTCTTGGCGACTTTCTCATCGATCTTGTTGTTGCAGTAGAGGGTACTGCCCAGGTACGGGAAGTTCTCCACCACTTGCAGTTGGGTCTCATTCACGCTGATTTGCGGCGCTTTGGGGGGTGTGGCTGAGTGAGAAGGCGGTTGATGCATGACCACCGTCTTCTGCGTGTTGATGATCAGACCAAAGTTCTTGCAGGCGGCGGAGAACAGGTCCATGCTCCGTTAAATCTCCTTTTCCGAGGTGGTGTTCAGGGCGCAGTCGTCGGCGAAGAAAAGTTCGTGAACGGTGATTGCGGATATGCGCGATTAGGAGTGCATCCGCCGTTGATTCAGGAGGTGACCGTCCGTCCTGTAGGCGATGCGAATCCAGGGGTGCTCATCACGATGGGCGTCCATCAGCATGGCATAGAGCATAAGACTGAAGAGGGTAGGCGTCAGCACGCATCCCTGCTTCTCTCCGTTGGTCACAACGAATGCCTCTGAGACAGCTCCGTTGTCCGTGACTCGCGCCATAATACAGTCGTGCAGCTGACGCACCATCTGAGTAAATCGCTCTGGACAGCCGAATTTCTGCATGATCTTCCACAGTCCTTCACGATACACCGTGTCGAAGGCTTTCTTCAGGTCCACAAAGGTAGAGTACAGGTGGGTCCGCATGTCCTGGCACTTCTCCTGAAGTTGACGGGCGGCGAAGATCATATCCGTGGTCCCACGATGATGACGGAAGCCGCATTGGCCTTCAGGCAGAAGGCCCTGTTCCCGATGGTTGTTCAGGCGGTTGAGGAGGATGCGAGCAAAGATCTTCCGGGATTTTCAGCAAGGAGATGCCACGATTATTGTCGCAGACTTGGCGGTTTCTTTTCGCTTGTAGAGATGCACGATGGTTGCATCCTTGAAATCTTCCGGGACTTCACCTTCACGCCACATTTCCTGGAAGAGCGCACTCAGCTAATCCAGTAGTTGTGGACCTCCGGGATCGCATCCGATCCGGGTGCTTGCCTGCTGGAGAGCTGCTGCACGGCCCTGATGGTTTCCCGGAGAGATGACGGGTGGTCGAGGTTCACGTTGGTCTCCACTTGCGGCAAACGGTCGATGGCGACGTCGGAGATGGTGCAAGGGCGGTTGAGTACGCCTCGGAAATGCTCGCCCCATCGCTGTAGGATTTGCGTTTTCTCAGTCAGGAGAGTGCTAAAGTCGGCGCTGAGGAGGTGAACAGTGCCCTTCGTCGGTGGATCGTAGACAGCTTTGATCGCGGAGAAGAAGTTCTTCCATTCGCTGCGTTTTGCGTACCCCTGGATCTCCTCAGCTTTGCGAGCAGTCCAGGCGTCCTGTATCTCGCGCAGTGGTTGCTGAAGGTGGCGGCGACTGCGGTAGAAAGCAGCATTGTTGTCATCAGTGGGGTGATCTACAGTGAGTGACCTATCTCATGAAATGTTGGCTGAAAATCTAAAATGCGTTTTCGATTAGGAAGGATTACTTGGTCGCGGTTGTAATACTGACTATCTTAAGACATACTCTTATAACATTTTGGACTCGGCAGGATGTCGGCTTTTAAATGCATTTCTTTTCAATCTCCTGTAGAAAGCGTGCTCGGTAAAAAATGACTACTTAATTAGCATGCATTTTTCCCATTAATTTTCGATGGTCTTGGAAATTCAAATATATTTTGTGGAAACCATAAACAAAAATATGCTTTCTTTTAGTCAATCAATAGTGAATTACGTCTTCTTTATAGTTTATACTTAAGGAAGGAGTATAATTAGGGTTTAAATAGTTTCTAATTATGACACATTTTAAGACCGCGAAATGTCCATTCACATAGCTTCGTACCTGTCCGTTTACCACTGCTCCTCATGTAATGTACAACATGGTCCGCATCCATTGAACAATTTTATGGACTCTGTATGATATCTCTTTAATGGCATAGAAAAATATGGGATTTTCTTTACGCAAAACGCAGGCACCGTGTAGAGTGTAATCACTAAGCGCTAATGCAACGAATGATCAGGCTCAATATTATTCGGCAACTAGAAAACTTTCTCAAAACCGAATTATATTCCTTTCTTAAGTATAAAAATATAAAGAAGACGTGATTCTCTATTGATTGACTAAAAGAAAGCATATTTTTGTATATGATTTCTTTGAAATATATTTGAATTTCCAAGACCTTCGAAAATCAATGGGAAAAATGCATGCTAATTAAGTAGTCATTTTTTACGGAGCACGCTTTCTACAGGAGATTGGAAAGAAGTGCATTTAAAAGCCGACATCCTGCCGAGTCCGAAATATTATAAGAGTATATAAGAGTATATAAGAGTATACCGTATTTAGTATTACAACCGCGACCAATTAATCCTTCCTAATCGAAAACACATTTCAGAATTTCAGCTAACATTTCATGAGATAGATCACTCACTGTACGTAGGTTTTATGTAGGCGGTTCTTCTCGGCGAGCAGATTGCTGATGGCGACGTCGTTGTCGTCGAACCAGTTCTGGTGTTGACGGCGGGCGCGACCGAGGACGGCTAGCGCCGTCGACTGGACCGTGTCCCACAGTTGACACCATCGGTTCTCCACGGAGGCGTTCTCGGTAGCGGCAGCGATTGGAAGGTTTTCTAATCGTTGAGCTAGCTCATTGCTGAATTGAAGATGGTGAGCGGGCAAATACAACAAGGCAGTATTCAGCTTACCTGGGGGTCGCTTACCTTGTGGTCGCCTGCGAGGCTGTAGGCGAATACGCATCTTCGAGATGACGAGGCGATGGTCAGTCCACCCGTCAGCACCCGCGATCTTCTTTGTCACCAGCACGTCCCGCTGATCTCGCCTCCGGACGAGGACATAGTCCAAAAGGTGCCACTGACGCGACCGAGGATGCCTCCAGGTGGCCTTCTCTCGCTCCGCCAGACAGAAGAACGTGTTCGTCAGGATGAGGCGGTGTTCTGCGCAGGTGCGGAGAAGCCGCAGTCATTGTCGTTTGAGCCGCGGAGACCGTGGGGACCCAGCATTCCTCTCCAGGCAGCATGGCCTGTGCCGAGGCGGACGCTGAAGTCACCGAGGACAATCAACTTGTCCGCCTTCGACACAGTCACCAATAGGGCTTGCAGGTCCTCTTAGAATCTGTCTCTTGCGGCGGCGGCGGCGGCGGCGTCGGGGCTGGTCATCGGAGGAGCGTAGGCGCTGATAATGGGGGCGAATTTTCCCCCACTCCTGAGAGGCAGACGGAGGCTTATCAGGCGATCGTTGATGCCCTGCGGCAAACAGGACAGTCGTCCCACGATGTCGTTCCGGATGACGAAGGCGACACCCGCGTCCCGTCGCTCTGCCCTGGGTCGACCGCTCCAGAAGAAGGTGTAGCCGGCACCCACCTCCTCCAGTTGGCCTTGTTCGGAGAATCGGGTCTCGCTGAGTGCGGCGATGTCCACCTTGTAGCGCGCCAGCTCTCGTGCCACTAGCGCTGTCCTCCGTTCCGGTCGGCTGCTCCGTGGATTATCTAAAAGAGAACGAATATTCCAGGCTGCCAGAGAGAGCGGACTTACCCTGCCAGTCTGGCGATTGCGGCGGTGAAAACTAATACTGGGGGAAGAAGGAGAATAGACTGGGCGAGGAATAGAGAGATTGTTGTTGTTGTTGATTCGGTTTTGGCTGTTTCGACCGTGTGTGTTTTGTCTGCGGCCACGGCCAGCCTACAGACAGCGTGGTTCCCACACACACACACGATAGTTCGACCATCGATTTCTATAATGCCCACCGTGTGTCCCACAGCTGCAGCAGCGGTGGGAGCAGGGACGGTGACTTGCGTAGGGGTTTAAAATGCCATAGACTTGCGTTGCATCTACCACACTCTCTCCTCCTCCCCGGCCTGAGCACGGTGTCAAGACAGAGTCACAACGACCGGAGGCGAGGGAAGCCACAGGTGGATGGCTCGCACGATCCTCGCCTTGACGTCCCACCACACTCCCTGGTCCACTCAATAAATGACCAGGATTTTTACCTACAAAACAGAGAGTGGAGTCTGGTACGGCCGAAGCCGCACCGAGGCGTGCCGCCAACGCCTGGCTTGGATCCAAAACAGTCGGAGCGCCATAAGGGCAGCATTAAGAATCAGCATTGCAACCTGACCCTCAGGCCTCCAGTCGTGGACGTTAAAGTCATCATATCAATTGACAAGCTTCCAAGCCACGGCTTTTAACGCACCGTGATGGCTTCAAGTGCGTCAGATTGTTTATACTGAGGAGAAAGTGCGCTGAGTCGTCGACCCCACTCTCCCTTCCCATTCCCACACCCCAGCCACTGTCCGAGCGATCAACAGACTGTAGTGGAGGACGGAACACACAAGCACACAACTAGGCAGACTGCGTGGACCGAGTGGAGGCGTCAGTCAACAGCCTTCCAAGCCACGCGCTTGACGCTCTGAGATTGTCTCTGACTCGCGTCACACATGCAGCAGGGGAGCCGCAAGGAGAAGGGGACGAGACGCACACTTCCCACTTGCGTGGGAGGTTACACGCCGTCCCAAACGTCTGATGACGGTCACACGCGCTCCGCGTGTTTGACATACAGTCAATATTCATACTCTATCCCCCCATCCCTACCCCCTAGCCCAAAGGACCGCAACGGGCTGGCTCGTCGAGTGGACAGCGTGGGACCGAGTGTGGCTAATCCCACCTAGGCACATATAAACCCTGTTAATTGCTGCCATATTCACTCTCCACGTAATTGTAGTGATCTGGGTTGATTTACCGAAAATGCGTGTTTGAAATGTGCCTTCTAAAATGAAAAATGACATGCTAATTCATAAAGGGATGCGTATCTAGAAGGATTGGTTCATCTCACCATATGCATGCTACTTCCAAGCAGTACGGTCTTCGAGTTTTTTGCGTGCGAAGAAGCACACAGAGTACCATTTTGGGTCGGAAGTGCGTCCGCAACTAGGGAGGCGTTTTATGATAGAACAGCGGAGATATTGTTTTCCAACTTCAAATATCATTTGTAGAAGTGCTCACCTGACCCGACTGTCAGTTACCTTTCCGAATTCTCAATTCATTTGCAAGCAAAATTAAGTAGAATTCAGTAGTATAATACTATGTGGAGGACAGTGGCATGATGTAGTTTATACCTTCTTACGAAACAGTCTCCATAGAAACATCAGTCATGAAACTTATCATCTCATAGGTACTTTTAGCTTTTTAGCACGTCGGTATCTTGATCTTGTTTGAAATATTTCCTCCTGAGTGTGACAGTTTGACCATCTCGGGCGACGATTTTTAACGCGAGCCAGATGAAGTGGACGTAGCATCGGTGAATTGCACGTCGATTGGTTTGTAGAAAGGCAGAGTTGCACAGCGTCTACTACGCTCGCTCCCCTTTCAACTACGAGAATCCGACGGAAAAACAGTATGAAGGCAAATGGCAGTGGCCCGTATGCAGCGGCTGATGAAATTAAACAGTTCGCCGAAGAGTGCCACATAAGACCTGACCCTTGCGCATTGCCCAGGGTTTTCACAGAAAAGGAGGCCTTTCGTGGGGTAGCCGTAGATGCGACATTAAAAAGGAGCCAGTGAGACTGATTGAGTCGGTCACTCTACAGCCCCAAAACTGCTCCGATAAATCGCTTTATAACGCCAGTTGGCGGCCTTACATGTCACGAATTGTAGGCGTGGGGACAAATCTAATCGCGGCACATTGGTTTTAGGGAGAAATGCGTTGACGTGCTGTGATTATGAGCCTAAATAGCACTTCAATTTGGTGAACAAAAACTCAAAATGAGAAAGAGGCAATTAGGGCGCTTGCTCCAGGCTAAAATTCTCACGAGAGGTGATATTGACATGAGCCATAAGGTAAATTGAATCATGGCTCACAGGAGCCCAGCTAATCAAAAAAAAGAAACGACCTCCCATCCCATATTCACTGATAAGGCCGAGTATGGCCAAAGTAATTAGGTACGCGGGGAGCGAGCAGAGCAATTAGCGAGATGCCTTAGCCATCATCACACCAACATCCAACGCGGCTGAAGAGATTTCGACAACTAACGTCTGGCATGCTGGCCATTAAAGCATTAGCGCACCAGAGGACAACTATCCTCGATAAATGGGAGCCGTTAATTTTCGAACGAATTTACCAGCAAAGCCTATGCATCCTTTAAATACTTCACCTTCCTATTTACGAAACATTCCTATGTGATGCTGACCCTGATGATAGGTTCGGGCGTGGATACGATATGTCAGGAGAATAGAGCGCTGGTCCCAACGATTACATCTACTTCTTCTCAACTAAGTCCCGAAAAATTCACTCCCAGTAACATCGAAAACACCCTAACTGTTATATTATTAAATACCTCCCTGATTGCGGGCACATGTGCGTACCCAAAATGATCTTATGTCCTTTTGCACGGAGAACCCTAACACACGCTACTTAGGGGCAAATACAACATGAGTAGAGACGTTTATAGCGGCATTAGCAACTGAGTGATGTGAAAAACCCAAGTGTTCCCTGATAGTACCCTGTTCTTCGAATTACGCACCCATTAAGGCGTTAAGGCATCTTTTTAATTTTCCATCTTGCTTTTCGAGTGACCTTTTTTATCAGTTGAAGCATATGCCAAACTATGATCTTGATGTTTTCGCAGTTTTTTTATAACCAATTCAACGTTTCACGCACTGCTCACCGATCCTCCATATAATAAGGCGGCAAATAAGAATCTGCATACAGTGTCCGGTGTCACAAAGTTTCGTTGCTCATGCTTATTGAAAATTGATCATTAAATTCTTTAAAGGTCCTCGGCACTCCTTAATGGTCTCAGCGGGTACATTGGGTGTAACTGAACATTTGAGTAAACATAAAACATCACCATTCATGGCGATTAAGATACGAATCAGTCACATCTCCCCTCTGACTGACAACGGCGTCCTCAGATACGAAGTAAGGGAAAGCATTTAACTGAGAAGCTGCAGAGTTCAAACGTCGCTCCTGAGTTTGCCTCAAATACGTCAAAAAACATGTCAAATAACTGCAACATTATTACCGCATAGTACGCGTGACTGTTAGACAACGCGTCTGGGACGCCATATTAGTAGTTTCTTTGCAAAATAACAGCGGTTACATAGATAGGGTTTTTGTACTGATTAATTGGAAAAAGCATATAATGAGCCGTTCGCGAATTTTCCATCAGTATCTCTTTGTTGAAAATTAGGAAAGTAAATGGATTTGCTTGTTCTCTAATCGAAAACTCAGCGGCAAGTGCTCATTCAGTAATGGTTATTTCTCCTTGCCCTAAGATTAATTATGCTCACATAAGCGTACTCAAATGTTGTGCGTTACAATGTATTTATCTGGTATGCTCAATTTTGAGGTTTGTTCATTTCCTTTCGGACGTGTGAGTAACTGTACAATTAGGGTCCGGCCCTCTGATTTGGACATCATTTTGTTTTACCAACTAATTTCTTTCAGGAATTTTACCTCATGACTGTCTCGCACTCCATATTTTATAATTTCGCAAATGGTTGTAGGGCCACATATTTTGCGACTTCGACATAAGTGGAGATTCAAGGTCCTGATAAATTGTCCCATTTATCATCCCCATAAGTAGACCAAGAAAAAAGGGCGATTTCATAGGACACATTGTATTTGTGTCGACGTTTCGGTAACTTCCTCGTTTCCATCATCAGAGTGGCGGGGAGTCTGCTCCTGCTGACTCGGAGTTGTTCTGTCTCGCCGCCTGTCTTGCATTATAGACATGCCTGACGCAAGAACTCTGGCCTGCCTTCTGGCTGGGGATTGGCTTTGGTCCCTCCGCGGGCGGCCGATGCTGCACTCCTGTGACCTCTGCCCCCCATGACCGGCTGTCGTAGTCGCTGCAAAATCTGTGTGCCCGTTGGCCCTCCCCTCATAATCGGAAGGGCTGATCAGCTGACTTTGCATGTGCGAATCACGATCGGCTGTTTGGGCGCGCGGGTGGGTCTATGTCTCGCGCTGGCAGTGTGACCTCTGGCTGTCTCTTTCTCCCTGCTGTGAAGGTCACAATTG